TTCCTGTCTCCTGGCTGTCTCAAGCCTGGTGTTTCATTGTCCCAAGATGTCTGCTTACAACAGGACTTAGGATTTTCCAGGGACACAGGAGAGACTGCCCACTTTCAGACGGAGCCCAGGACAGGGTCCAGGACGGGAGGAGGAGTGGTAGAGAGGACGGGGGAGGGGGGCTCCCTGCCTTTGTGTCTCCTGGGCAGGTAGGACAGCAGTGACCCTGAGGAGGGGACGCACATGGTGAGAAGCTACTGCAGGCTGGCCAGTGGCCAGCGCTCGGTGGGCCGTCTCCTGTGCCGGCGGCAAGCACTCGGTGGGCCGTCTCCTGTGCCGGCGGCCAGCGCTCGGTGGCTAGTCTCCTGTGCAGGTAGTAAGCGCTCTGTGGCTAGTCTCCTGTGCAGGTAGTAAGCGCTCTGTGGCTAGTCTCCTGTGCGGGTGGTAAGTGCTCTGTGGCTGGTCTCCTGTGCGGGTAGTAAGCGCTCTGTGGCTTGTGTCCTGTGCGGGTAGTAAGCGCTCTGTGGCTAGTCTTCTGTGCGGGTAGTAAGTGCTCTGTGGCTTGTGTCCTGTGCGGGTGGTAAGCGCTCTGTGGCTTGTGTCCTGTGCAGGTAGTAAGTGCTCTGTGTCTAGTCATCTGTGCGGGTGGTAAGTGCTCTGTAGCTAGTCTCCTGTGGGGGTAGTAAGTGCTCTGTGGCTAGTCTTCTGTGCGGGTGGTAAGGGCTCTGTGGCTAGTTTTCTGTGCAGGTAGTAAGCGCTCTGTGGCTTGTGTCCTGTGCGGGTAGTAAGCGCTCTGTGGCTTGTCTCCTGTGCGGGTGGTAAGCGCTCTGTGGCTTGTCTCCTGTGCGGGTGGTAAGCGCTCTGTGGCTTGTGTCCTGTGCGGGTAGTAAGCGCTCTGTGGCTTGTGTCCTGTGCGGGTGGTAAGCGCTCTGTGGCTTGTGTCCTGTGCGGGTGGTAAGCGCTCTGTGGCTTGTGTCCTGTGCGGGTAGTAAGCACTCTGTGGCTTGTGTCCTGTGCGGGTGGTAAGCGCTCTGTGGCTTGTGTCCTGTGCGGGTGGTAAGCGCTCTGTGGCTTGTGTCCTGTGCGGGTGGTAAGTGCTCTGTGGCTAGTCTCCTGTGCGGGTGGTAAGCGCTCTGTGGCTTGTGTCCTGTGCGGGTAGTAAGTGCTCTGTGGCTTGTGTCCTGTGCGGGTGGTAAGTGCTCTGTGGCTTGTGTCCTGTGCGGGTAGTAAGCGCTCTGTGGTTTGTGTCCTGTGCGGGTGGTAAGCGCTCTGTGGCTAATCTCCTGTGCGGGTAGTAAGTGCTCTGTGACTAGTCTCCTGTGCAGGTAGTAAGCGCTCTGTGGCTGGTCTTCTGTGCAGGTGGTAAGCGCTCTGTGGCTTGTGTCCTATGCAGGTGGTAAGTGCTCTGTGGCTAATCTCCTGTGCGGGTAGTAAGTGCTCTGTGACTAGTCTCCTGTGCAGGTGGTAAGCGCTCTGTGGCTTGTGTCCTATGCAGGTGGTAAGTGCTCTGTGGCTAATCTCCTGTGCGGGTAGTAAGTGCTCTGTGGCTGGTCTTCTGTGCGGGTGGTAAGCGCTCTGTGGCTAGTCTCCTGTGCGGGTAGTAAGCGCTCTGTGGCTAATCTCCTGTGCGGGTAGTAAGCGCTCTGTGGCTAGTCTTCTGTGGGGGTGGTAAGCGCTCTGTGGCTAATCTCCTGTGGGGGTAGTAAGTGCTCTGTGGCTAGTCTCCTGTGCGGGTAGTAAGCGCTCTGTGGCTAATCTCCTGTGGGGGTAGTAAGTGCTCTGTGGCTAGTCTCCTGTGCGGGTGGTAAGCGCTCTGTGGCTAATCTGTGCGGGTAGTAAGCGCTCTGTGGCTGGTCTGTTTCTGAGGCTGTGCCAGAAGCCAGGCATGGGCATCAGGAGCAGGCAGCCTTTGCTGGGAGCTTTGTGGCTGTGGAGCCTGGCCCAGGGCCTTGAGGTCCGTTCTGTGTGTGTGTGGTGCTGTTGGAAGGCCAGTGGGCAGTGGTTCTGCGTGGGGGCATTCCTGGAGAGTTCACGCTGACCACGAGGAAAGAGAAGACCCAAGGCAGGGTGGGGAAAGATGTGCACAGCAGCCCGAGGAGAGGTAGGGCTGCCTGCGTCTGCCGGGCAGCAAGCCTGCTGGAGACGGAGCTGAAGTGTGTGGCCTGGCGTCTCCCTGCTTTGCTGAGGACCAGGCGCTGGGGAACCCTGCCCGGTGGAGCGCAGGAAACGTCACAGACTCCGTAGATGTTTGTTAAAGTCATGGGAGGAGTTCCAGATCAGAGGTGGAGATGGAAAGCTGCGCCATCATTAAGAAACGCCCTTTGTAGCCCCCAAGGGCTCAGGGTCCAGCTGGAGGCAGAGCTCAGGCTTGAGTTCCAGCTTTTCTTCACTTCTGAGTCTCAGTCTCCTTGGTGTCAGACGCAGTGGGCTCACCTTTGGTGGGCAGGAAGGGCAGGCCTGGCGGGCCTGGACAGCTCCGGCACGAGGAAGAGCAAGCCTGCGTCCTCCACGGCCCCAGTCCGGGATCAGAAGCGTCCTGTGGGTCAACCGTTTGTCCAGAGCGGCATGAGCTCTAGGTACCAGGAGGGCTGGAGAGGGCTCTGCGGCCCCGGGGCCGGGGTGCGCCTTCTGGGACCTCACCCCTCACCGGCGTGCACAGGGGTGCAGGGCTCTGGGCTCAGCAGGCGACGCACTGCTGCCTGCGTGGACTGGTCCAGGTGGCTCCTGCAGTGTGTGGGCCCAGCTCGAGCTCCCGGGAGGAGTGCCAGCGTGGCAGGAAATTCTCTGCCGTGCCAGGGCCGCTGGAGCGGGCCTGGGGAAGGGCGTCTGTGTGCTCTGCGCAGCCGATTCACACGGACCTCTGCTGGCGACCCTGGGCCTGTCTTTCTGTTGACTGAAGGTGACGCGTTTGCATAACAAAGTGTCCAACCGCATCGAACGCCAGAATTAGCAATATTTCAATGTACTCTATCTCCTATAGGCCAAAACCCCGGCAGGGCTATATTTGCCCCAAACGAAATAAAATTTACAATCCTCGGGTCACTCAGTCCAGTGCAGATCGTGTGTCATACGGGCGGACGCACATGCACACCCACCTCAGCCTGCATCGGTGTTGCATTTATGGCTGTCTGAGAGTTTTCCAACGCAGCTTTAGCTGGCCTCTTCAGTTATGACCCCTTCTAGCCCTCCCCAAGGCTAGCTCTAAATATATTCCAGTAACACAATCATGCCATGCAAAATCACAACACTCCAAAACACCTAAGAGACATGAATTATAATATGTACACTCCCTTATGACTAAACTTCTATGACACCAAAAAAGTCAAGAGAGGAGCAGACACTGGACTTGACAGAGCCCTCCAACACCCACTTCCAGCTGTGTAGACTGACAAAATGCTACAAGCACTAGCTGTGTGAGGATGGAGGTACTGATTTCCTAGGGTATTAGAATAAAAACCAGTACAGAATGTGCTTGGCTTTTTATAGTTATCTCAAGTGTTACTGTTCCATAAGCTAAATAGTCATCTACCCTGGAACCCTTTTTGGACTGGACTCACTGGGTCCTGCGTGCCCAGAGGCCCAGGGGCAGCCTCTCCCGAGCCCCGCCTGCGGATGGAGACCCCGGAACTGCATAGTGGACCCTGGTGCCTAAGACAGGCCCTGCCACAGAGAATTATCGGCCCCCAAAGGCCTGCGGTGGCCAAGAGCCTGGGCCGGCCACTGCGCAGAGCTGGCCACAAGTCAATTCCTTCCGTACTCTTCCCCAACACACACCGCTTCTGCCTGACACCAGCACATGGTCCAAGCAGAGCTCCCGAGTGACTGGACAGGACTTCAGGGGACAGGAAGCAAGCAGTGCGTCCCCAAGGCCAAGCGCTCGTGGCCCGCATCCAGACAGGCCCAACCTCACCCCAGCTCCGCGCCAAGATCTGGACACTCAGGCAGGAAACGGCTGGCAAGACGTCTCCACGGCCAGGCTGTGCTCGGGACAGCAAGGTTTCCTGACTTCTGACCCTCACTGAGCTCCCTCCCGTCCTCCCTCCCATACTTCCTCCCTCCCTTCTTCCCTCCCTCCCTCCCTCCCTCATCTCCATTCCTCCCTCCCTCCCTCCCTCCCTCCCTTCTTTCCTTCCTTTTGCCTTCCCTCTCTCCCGCCCTTCCTCTCTCTCTTCCTTCCTTCCTCTCTTTCTTCCTCTCTCCCTGCCTTCCTTCCTCCCTTTCTTCGTCCCTCCCTCCCTCCTTCCCTTCCTCCCTCCCTCCCTCCTTCCCTTTCTCCCTCCCTCCTCCCTCCTTCCTCCCTCCCTCCCTCCCTCCCTCCTGTCCTCCCTTTCCTGTCTGAATCCCACTCCTTGCTTGCAGGCCCTGTTTGCTGTCTTTGAGGAATCAAGTGTGGGCTGGCCTCCCTTCTTCACGGGGAGGCTGGAGAGCAGAGGTCCCCAAACCTGTCTCCAGTGGTTCCCTTGAGCACAGCCAGGCTTGCCATCTTTAGCGAGCGTTTAGATACTCTCTTCACTACACCACGAGTTCCTTTCCAGTCTCTTCTAACACGGGGCCGTCAGGAGAGGGTGTCTGTACAACGCTCCCCACATGGCAGGAGGTGAGGCGTTCCTCACCCGGCGGCGCCTCCGTGTCTACGTTGGACTCTTCCCTTGCTTTGGGAGGCTGGGGTTGTTACAGGGAACCCTTTCTGCAGCATTCGGCTTTGTGTCCTTGAATAACCACGGCGCAGCTCTGCGGCTCAGATCCTAATGCTACGGATAAGCCCCACTGGGAATGGCTGCCTCTCCATAGCTGCTCTCAGAGATGTCACCCTTCTCCTCCACGCTTTCCATTTGGAGAGAAGTCCTGTTGTAAGACTAGAAGTGTTTCCCTGGGGGTGCCAGTGCCCCAGAAAGACATCTGGGGTGTCCTAGGAGCACAGCGGCTCGAGGAGGATGCTAGAATCCAGATTCTCAGCCTGCTGGAGCCAACTTGGCTCCAGCACCCACTCCGAGAAGAGCCCCCATACGCACCTTCGATGAGAAGCGTAGTTGCCAGTGATGTGTCCGGAGCCATCGCAGCCAGGCGTAGGGCACCTGGAAGTAGAAATGCAGACAGGGAAGCTTACTTGGAGGGAGTGTGGATCCTGGGCATTTAGCTTTCCTCTTCTCCAAAAGGCCAAGTCTTTCCGCTCAGCCTGGTGGCTGAGAGAGGCTGGCTGAGCTGGGAAGTCCCCAGGCACACCACTGCTTCCTCCCCGACAAGGCCTTGCCACAGGGCCTTGAATTCTGCAGCTACTTCAGACTCCATGGTCTCTGGGACGTCTGTCTAGCGTCCGTGGTCATGAGGCTGTGGATCCCCGCATACCCATCCCCTCCAAGTACCCACTTCCTTCCCTTGTTATTTAGGTTTGTCACAGGTGTGTGCTCACACCAGTCCATACATGAAGCAGGCTAGCACATGGAAGATGCACACCCTGCTGGGGTACGGTCGCACAGATCTTCCACTCCCAAGCTGTGCCGTCTCCTCCCCTCCCTGACCAGCCGGGGCCCCCGGCGCCCAGCAGCCTGAAAATGTACTCATCGCCCCTGGACCCCTGAAGTCTTCCCGTTCACCACGTGAGGGCCACGTGGAAGGACCCGGACTCCAGGCCGGGGGCTCCCGCTTGCGTGGGCACAGCAGGGCCTGGTCTACCTTCTCACCACAGCCGCCCCAGGGCTGGCGCAGGAGACAGAGTCCCGGCCGCTCTGCCCTCCGAGTAACTTTTAAACTATGCCATTGGGGAAGAAGCAGAAAGCACGACACAAACACAGAGCTCTTTCACTGCTTTTCTTCCACAATAAAGGGGGAAAAATTAAGGGACAAAATTCAGAAAAGAAATTATCTTTCACTTAAATTAGTGAGGCTTCCTCAATAACCAGCGTGAAGTGATTGAGTAAAATGACCACCTAGGACTAAGGCGTAAGCTATGCATTCTCTGAATTCCTACCCCAGGAGAGCCTGAATGGCTGGGCTGCTGCGGGGGGGGGGGGGGGGGGGAGGGGGGGCACGGGGGGGGCGGGCAAAGGGCAAAGGGCAAAGGCCGCAGCCTCCAAAGATCTCCCATTCCAGCTCTGGGCTCTCTCCAGGCCGAGTGTCCTGGAGCAAGGCAGGGAGCAGGCCTAGGACACATCACAAGGATAAGAATGTTGAGTTGGATATTTGGGTGTGTTAAACACTGAGGCCATTTTCAGTGTTCAGAAGTTTTCTAATTTCCCTCCCACCAGCCCTAAAAATGGGAATGTGATTCAGAGCAGAAGATATTGGTATCTTCCCTATCATGTCCCACACGAGGCCCGAGCCATGGGAGGGTAAAAACAGGAAAGGAAGGGAGCGGAAGAGGCCGTGTGCTCCTGTGGGTGCTCCGCTCACCAGGACGGGGAGACTGGATTTTGCTGGGGAGCAGAGGGAACGTTAGTTTTCCAGCAGCAACTGAGCCCCAGTCCTGTGCCGTTTCCTGACATTCACACTTCAGTCCTAAGGCCACGTGGGCAACAGCTCAGTACTTCCTAAATAAGAACTTACATGACTGAAGCCGATTTTCCAAATGATGCCACAGGTGTTCAGCCCCTGCCGGGATGCTTACTGGTAGAAAAACTTGGGGGTATTATTATCATTGTCACCAACATAATGTCTGGTGTGGAAATGTGTTTCTACCAGCCTATGTTCAAGGAAAATGATTCTTAAACTCTTCCTAATTTAAGCACCTCTTAAAGGTGACTTTGAAATTTACTCACTTTAATAGGAGACCACATTTTGCATGCCCTCTTTTGGGTGGAGCTGCTCAGATTCAAGGTGAGATATTACAACCAGAATAATGCAATGGGGACCAGATTTTACTACCTATAAAAAGGAGTCAGTTTTGTGTAATTCATCATTTAGTAAGAAAAGAGGTGTTTAAATGTCATTCTCCTTCATGAAAACAACCAAAAAACTCACAATCTTATTCATTTTCTGTTTTTTCTGTGTTGGAAAAACAGCACAGGAAAGACGTTTTTCTTTCTCTCAAGAGTCGCTCTTATTTTCAGGTTTCTAACAGGGCAGATGGGTCTGCACCCTGGCTCTGGGGCCTGCCAGGCACCGAGACTGTGGGGCTGCTCGGCTGCACCAGCGTGTGCTTGGATTAGAAGGGATTTGTGAGGCGGAAGCAGGGGAGAGGCTCTCCCCTGAATCCTGGGAAAGAGTGGGGCTGCCAGCTGTGCGTCCCGTGGCCTCACTGCGGGCACAGGTGAGCCGAGGCTGCTGATTGCTCCGAGTCGCTCTTCAACGTCTCGTCGCTAGGTGGCGGCCTTGGACTGTGAATGACGGCTCCAAGGCCGGCTGTCTCCTCAGCTCTCAGGCATTCATCTCTACGTGATTCTCAAGATGTTGAATCTTTTAAAACCTCAGATGGACATATAAATTTCCCAGCTTTTAGGAACCTCAACGTTGAAAAACCACAAACTTCGGCAGTCATGAAAGAATGAGGATTCGCGTGACCGGGGAGCTCACTGGCCGGGGTGGGACCGGCCCTGTCTACGGAGCACATCTGGCCCACGAAGAGGGGCCCACGCGGGACAGTCAAGGCCCCGTGGGTGGATGGAATTGGAGGCAGCCTGTGCTCACAGCTTGGGTTTTGCAACGGCAGAAGAGACAGGCTGGGTTTCCATGGAAACAGCCCTGGGCTGGCTCTCAGTGCAGAAGTGCGGAGGCCACGGCGGCTGCTCCAGGACCCTGGCTTTCCTGACAGCCACTGCCAGCGACAGCACCTGGGCTATTCTAAGCTCCTGTCTTCGAGGATGTCAAGTTGTGTTAAACAAAGCATTGGCTTCCCCTCTTTTCTACTCCAAAGGCACTATGGGCAAAAACACAGAGAGGAAACGATGAATAATCTATGCTTGCTGCCTTGCAGATAGATTTGAGGCAAAAATATCCTTGATCTTTATCTCTGTTTCGTGTTTACTTTGATTGATTAAGCAATGTGAAGAGAAGATAATTTTGGCAATGCACAGCGCCATCCAGCTGGGAAAATGGGTCAAGAATGGTGATGGAAAATCACAGCACAGGGTTCTAAACGGTGCTTCACTGGGATGGCAGGTGGATTCAGAGGAAAAGTCTTAACAAGAACAAGAACAAAACCGTCAGCAGCAGCCAGACGGGAGCTCTAACCTTGGGCTGGGACCTTTCCAGCCAGGCAGCGGTGTCTCTGTTGCCGCTGTGGGTCTGAGGCCCTTCATTAATCACTACTAAAGAAGCACTGACTTTGGTAAGAATCACCGCTGACCGCTGGGTGGCTAGGTAGGGAGCAGATGTACCTGAGCAGCAGAAGCTAATTTGATGTTGTGAATCAACTGCGTAATCAGAAAACCATTGACTTGTGCGTCGCACACCTCTGGAAGACAGAGCACTGGCCGACACCGCTCGGGTCTGCCTGGACCTTGTCTGTCCTCAGAGGACGCAAACCCTCTGCCCAGCACCATTTGGTCCCCCTTTTATAAATCCCACCCCAAATGGACACAGTGCAAATGGGAATGTTTATCTACTGGCCTAAGCCTTATTGGATAACTTTGTAAAAATGTCTTAGAAACATTTCCTCGATGTTCTCTCCCTCGTCCAAGGAAAGGAAACCTTTCTTGAGGATTAAATCAATGCTCAAAACGGTGTAAGAAGTGCCAACTATGACACTGTGTGGATGGAGTGCTCTCTGGCAGAGTGACCGGAGCTGCCTGGGGTGGGCTTCCGCGGACCCACGCCGGGCTGACCACTTCCTAAGCCAGAAACTGCTGGAAGAGTCCAGAATGCATCTGGCATGGTTTGCAGGGGTTGCATGAGCCCCTGTGCTCTTGATGGACACAACATGGTGAACTGTGAGTCTTCAGGGCTGCCCGGAGCAGTGGGCCACGCCAGGGCTGCTGGGAAGATGCCTCGGGGGCAGGCCCAGACCGGGCCTGGGTGAGTCTGACCTCTCACACCCACCGGGCCAGAGAGAGCCGTACCATGCCGCAGACCCCACAGGCAGCACAGCAGGCAGCATCTGGATGTGGCACAGACGTCTGGTTCTGAGAGAGGCAAGTGCTCGTTTTAAGACTTATAGCAAAAGCTGCACACACTGCTGGCATGGCTGAGCTTGGCCTGGACCAGGCTCCGCTGAGCCTCCTCCAAGGCTGGCCTTCGGAGAAGCTGACGGGCTGGCGGCTGAGATGCACGGAAACACGGGGATGGGGTAATGAACAGGTGCCGGGCAGATGGACTTTGCAGACTCTGATGGATGTCACAGAGAGCTGCTTGAACAGACTTTTTTTACTCTTCTTTGTTTTGGGGTAACCCTATGTCAACAAGTATAAATAAAACAAAAAACTCCACACTGAGTTAGTGCCTTAAAATTTAAAAGAAATTATACAAAGTGGAATTGGAGGTGAGGGCTCACATGTAGCGTGTAGCGTGTATAGCAGTGTGAGGAGCTGAGCCGAGGGCTCACGTGTAGTGCGTAGCATGTGCAGCGGTGTGAGGAGCTGAGCTGAGGGCGCAGCATGTGGCGTGTAGCGTGTGCCGCGGTGTGAGGAGCTGAGCCGAGGGCTCACGTGTAGCATGTAGCGTGTGCAGCGGTGTGAGGAGCTGAGCCGAGGGCTCACGTGTAGCGTGTAGCGTGTGCAGCGGTGTGAGGAGCTGAGCTGAGGGCTCAGCATGTAGCGTGTAGCGTGTGCAGCGGTGTGAGGAGCTGAGCCGAGGGCTCACGTGTAGCGTGTAGCATGTAGTGTGCAGCAGTGTGAGGAGCTGAGCTGAGGGCTCACGTGTAGCGTGTAGCGTGTGCAGCAGTGCGAGGAGCTGAGCTGAGGGCTCACGTGTAGCGTGTGCAGCGGTGTGAGGAGCTGAGCCGAGGGCTCAGCGTGTAGCATGTAGTGTGCAGCGGTGTGAGGAGCTGAGCCGAGGGCTCACGTGTAGCGTGTAGCGTGTGCAGCAGTGTGAGGAGCTGAGCTGAGGGCTCATGTGTAGCGTGTGCAGCAGTGTGAGGAGCTGAGCTGAGCGCTCACGTGTAGCACGTGCAGCGGTGTGAGGAGCTGAACCGAGGGCTCACGTG